AAATAAGTCGCTTTCGACTGCATTTCTCATTTCTGCACTAATCTCTCCTGACTAAAGTCATTTTTCTACGTTTCCTATCTCCCTACCACTGAGACTGTAGTTAGGCCGAACTAAGTTAAACAGATATTTCACATTTTCACATATTAACTGCATAAATTGTAGATATAAATGCGAGAAAACAGTTTTTTTCTACTTCCGACAGCACTTTAGTAATTATACTTTTACAGCCACAGATGCGTAATGTAAAAAGTGAAGCCGGTGGTTTATACCAGTGTCATATAATTTTGCCATCTTTCAAAGGCTTACCATGGTGGATGTAATTACCATAATTCATATTCAGCTAGACATTGAAATATCTTGAAAGAACTCTCCAGCCGGTATAATATATCTTTAACATTTCACTAAATGTTCGAACTAGTTGCCCATTATGACTTCATGGTACTGGCTAGTACCACATCTGAAGTATGAAATGTTGTTGAGCCTTTATAAACACGTTCAAATAAAATCTTCCTAATCATATTAAGAAATGCAAAGAGAATACATCCCGTACGTGAAAATGTCAATCACATCAAGAATATTGAAACATGAAACATTAAAGTTCATTTCGTAATACGTGTACTTTAATATTTCCTAATGGATGGTTCCTACAGAAATAGAAGCGACAAACCGCTTTGCACATCATAAGGAATCTCTGCTGAAAGCAGAGTCGAAACCCCAAAACGTCCATACACTGATAGGCGTTTGTCAGTTTGAATGTTAATTTGGAGGTGAAAATACATCATGACTAAGCAGGAAACCTTTCGAAAATCCTGTTTCATTTCAGAATTTGGTCCCGCTGATTTGGTCCCGTATTTACTGCACAAGTCCAACTGTCGTGTGTCGTGAGTCCTTGAACCTGCATATTGTATGTCATTTTATTGCCAGTAGTTATTGCCTGAAGCCCAGAAATACAGATTAAAAGTCAAATCGTTAAACACACGGTGTGATATATGGCGTTATATATCACACAGAAAGCGAAGTGGCCCAAATATATTTTTACAGATCGTTAGCGATTGACAGGAATGAGTGAGTGAGTGAGTTGAGTTTAGTTTTACCCCACACTCAGCAATATTCCGGCTATATGGCGTCGGTCTGTAAATAATCGAATGTGGACAAGACAATCCAGTGATCAACAGCATGTGCATCGATCTGCGCAATTTGGAACCGATGAGATGTGTCAACCAAGTCAGCGAGCCTGACCACCCGATCCCGTTAGTCGCCTCCTACGACAAGCAAAGTCGCCTTTTGTGTCAAGCATGGGTTGCTGAAGACCTATTCTACCCCGGATCTTCACGGGTCCGATTGACAGGAAAGCAGGAACATTGTCTATGATGTCTTCATCGGCAAAATGTCGCTGCATGTTGGAAATGGCGTGAAATACCGTTGTTTGTGTTTAGCATGTGGTTACGAACAGAGAGTTACCATGGTGCATTTCCTCTTAACGAACTATTGTTGCCCTATTTGGCTACACTAATAGTACACTACATTGTATCATACTCTGCGTGTTAGCCCTAGACAGTATATTGTTAACCTAATGCAAGAGTAATCAAGTGCAGCTTGTGTAAAACAATGTACACCAATAACTTTGTTTCTTTATTTGGACAGTCAATTATTTTGAAAATATTGTTTTCAAAATGCCTACCTTTGATAAACTAATCCCTCGTAAAAAGGACAAGCGAAACTCGAAATCACATTCCATGCTGGTACGTTAACCAGCTGAACATTGTCCTTGCTAAAAATCACTCGTTTATGTAACAACTGGCTACAAATCATGGGCCTTGCTAAAAATCACTGGTTCACATTCAGAATGACAGTATGTGGAGGTGGATGGGGTGACACACAGTGGCTTATACATTAGCTCCTCTTGATATAGACTTGGCCATTTATCTTTGCAACGAAGCATTATGTGTAATGGCTGAGAGATGATAAGATTGAATACTGCATCTTACAGTCATATGCAGTGTGCGAAATAGCCACTAGCCCGTGGCTAGTAAAAATCCAGTCGGGCCAGTAAATCTCCACAGTCACTGGCCCGACTGGCTAGTGCATTTTCATGGTGTCATTTTGTAAATATATCACTCTCCCAGACTTGTCAAGTTATAACACACTTTAAAGTAATGCAAGATTATGGTCTGATAAAAATGTTCATCATATTAGCAGATTAATGATGAAACCCGTGTCAATATTCAAGTGAATTATTTTGTGGGCTAGTAACTTTCAGGAATAGCTAGCCCGACTGACTAGCAACATTTGGAAACTATTTTGCACACTGAACATATGAAGACGTTTCATCGCAGAGATACAAAAGAAGTGATTTTAGTTTTACGCCGCTTTCACCGATATTGCAGCAATGTGGGGACACCATAAATGGGTTTCACATATTGTACTCATTTGGGGCACTTCAGCATGACGAGCGAACGCTTTAACCACAAGGCTACCCCCACCGCCCCAAGGTAGTAATAATAAATAATAATAATAATAAAAGCGATGTACTGCTGGACGGTACAGCGATGGGAGTAAACCAGGTGAAGTCCTTCACCAAGTCTGCCCAGAGTCGGTCTTTTGTGGAGAAGCTTTCTGAGAAGCCATTGCATCGTTTGTACATGCAGTGTGTGGAACAGAATAGCAATCCCACTGACTCCTTCGCCTGGATGAAGTCGACTGGTCTAAAATGTGAAACTGAGGGCTTTCATTTTGCTGTCCAGGACCAGTCACTTCCCACTCGCAATCGCCAAAATGTGATTCTTAAAGAGAATATTAACATGAAATGTCGACTGTGTAATGAATTTACAGAGACTGTCCAACACCTTGTCAGTGGATGCCCTTCTTTGGCACAAACAGCATATCTTAAACGACATGATGGCATGGCTCGTTGCTTTTACTACCGTCTCCGCCATGTCTGTGGCTTTGACTCCGAGGTCCATCCATGGTACGACCCTGAACATATCCAGGGTGTCATGGAAAATAATGTTTTGAAAGTTCTGTGGAACAGGTCCATATACAGCCTCAGAAGAATTCCAGCTAACAAACCTGATCTTGTCCTTTTTGATAAAGCCAATGAATTTATTTATATCATTGAATTTTCTTGTTTTTGACAACAATGTGATTGGCAAGATTCAGGAAAAGCATGATAAATATGGGGACCTCGCCTTTGAAATGTCTCGCTTGCATCCCAAGTACACTGTCGTCAGGCTCCCCATTGTTCTCGGTGCCCTTGGTTTGGTACCTCCTGATCTCTTGGCCCAGATCAGGAGAGTGCCCGGGTTCTCCACCGGGAACACAGCGCTTCTGGCACTCTGGGTAATGCAGAAGGCTGCAGTGTTGGGGGAGCCTTCATATTCCCCGAAAAGTTCTTGGTGGGTTCGACTAGGCAGTGTTTCCTGGGAGAAGTCCCATTCGCTGTCTGGGCTGCGTGTAGAGGGGTGAGGGCCCTGAGCTGATGATGAGCCTTACCAGCCTGACTGCCAGGATCACCCGAACCAGCTCTCTGCTGTATTTTCATCTTTAATCTGTAAAAATTAATAAATGTGAATTTATAATGCGCCTTTTCCATGTACAAGGCACATGCTCAAATCGTTAACACAGTGGATGAATAGTATATACATTATTCTATACAATGAGCTAGTCATAATACAATGAAAACAGATGAGCCTTGAGCAGGCGTTTGAAGAAATTAAAGTCAACTGCTGATTTAATGGTGATAGGGAGAAAGTGCCACTTTTAGAGGGGCAGAACAAGCAAAGGATTTCCTTCCAAAAGTTTGCTGTTTGAAACGAGGCACAGAGAGTAGGTTCCGATTCTGAGAACGGAGCTGTTTTTCTTGAGTGTAAGGCGTAAGAAGTTCTACGTATTCCGGTCTTTCGTCACTGAGGTATTTGTACACAAAACACAATCATTCAAAGTCGATTCTTGATTTAACAGGAAGCCAGTGCATGTTTTTCATGACAGGTGTTATGTGGGAGCGCTTAGTAGTTCATGTGTGATTCGGGCGGCTGTATTTTGGACATTTTGTAATTTTGAAAACAGCTTCTGAGAAACACACCAAAAATGCTTTAGAATTTGGAATTATCCAAAAGAGAAAAGACAAATGATCCCTGGGTCGATTGTTGACTGCTCTCTCAAGTGTTTTGGATAGGAACTTCAGGTTTGAGGCAGGTCGAAACTATTTCAGAAAGTCTGGATCAAGGTTACCCTGCTTCAAGAAGGGGATAAGAGTGGCATGGCTGAAAGAACCTTGGAAAACACCACTGAACACCCTACTGTTCACCAGCTTTGTGATCACTAACTGGGAGCAGCAAATACAGGAATTCATTTACCAAAGATGTGGGAATCGGGTCCAATGCGCATGTTGTTGACTTGGATACAGAGCTGAGGGTAGGGCTGGCTCATGTTTCTTCCCCAGAAGCAAATTTATGCATTTTCCTATGAGTATTTTTGCTCTCCTCGACAGGAGACAGGCAATAGTTCTTGTTAGCACGGGCTATGTGTTTAATCATGTTGCTCCTCGCTTGACTATAAATCTGACGATGAGCTTCTAGCCCTCCCCCCTTTCTCTCTCCTACTTCTTCTTTTACTCCCTCACACTACTGCTATATCTCGCAAACATTAAATTCCACACTTTCTCTTTCACTATCTAATTCCAGCGACTCTCACTGTAATCTCGTAACACCATGTAAGTGTTAAACGTCAGTATTCACAAACATTCTTGCAAATATACTGTAAACATCTCATTCACAACATATTGTTACAATAACCAGTCATGCTGCGCTAAACATCACAGGTCTTGACCTCAAAGGGGCCCATTTCGGGTGAAATTAGATTCTTGGCACAGTTTGATTTGAACACCATGTAAGTGTTAAAAGTCAGTATTCAAAATCTTCAAAAAGTAAAACTCATTCACTGCAAAGATATAAAACATCCACTTTCACTCTTCATCCACATGGTCACCAATCTCTGTCAAGAACTGTCAAGAACTGCAGTATTCAACAGTGTATCGCTTGAAACAGGCATCTTGTCTTGGTGTCTGCCATACCCAGATCTTCTCAACTGAAAAAACAGATGACTTTATATTAATAGAAAATTCTGTTTTAAAAAGTTCGATAATCTTATTCAAGGGTAACATTACTTATTTTCATACCACTAATTAACTGCTCTGGGCAATTTGTAAATATTTACTTAAAGAAATTACAATGCTAACATTTTGAAACAATGCTTACCTTCTCCATGTTCTTTATTGTGTGAGAACAAAGGCAACGAGACAGAGTGGAACAGTCAGTGTCTTTAGGCTTAAAAAAAGATTTACATGATGTTAATTCAAGTTTGTTTGAACAGTGTAACATAGATTACCAAACTTAAGAATTCTTTTATTAAACTTGGATTTCATGTGTACAAGTTAAGTTAAACATTGTAAATTGGCTGATCAATCTTTTGATAAAAAAAAAGAAAAAGAAAAAAAGAAATTACCAGCATTTGAAGCTGCATGTCGGATAATAGAAAAAAATGACAGGCCATCACTGTAACCACTAGGCTACAAATTCTGCTATTATCGCTTGTCACTTTAAGCTGATACATTACACATTGCAACAATGTGTCACTTGGCATCTGCTTGCGTCCATCATCTGCTAGACCTTGATACAATGTTCTTATTCTAACAGTAAACGTTTCACGCACTTAAGTATAGTCATTTTGGTTAAATGTAATCTAATATATCCTAGAAAACATCAAGAAACATTATTTTTGTTCAAATTTGTTTGTTTATACACAGTTACATCCTGTTGAATGACAGTGTTATTTGACAGTGACAGGTGACTCAGAGGTGTTTGATAAACATTTGATAAAACAAATATGATAAAATTCTAGAATAATTACACAGATTCTCACTTTTAGAATGCTGCCTGATCATATTTTGAAAAATCTTCTGATGCCTTCTTACATTTCCAGCAGAGATCAACAGGGTGTCCACAAAACTACCCTTGTTTACCTCAAAGTAATCAGCCTTGAGAGTCCCTTATGATATTGAAAATGTTTTAATAAACATGTTTGATGAGCTGATTTAGTGCTCTAAAAATTCAAAATAATAAGGAATCATGGTATAGTTGTTTAAATGTGACGGATAGTTTTCAAAGATATTACTTTACGCCAGTGTTTATTTTTGAGATGTTGTATGGGGCAATTTCATATAACAGAAAAAAAATGTACTTTTTTAAACATTTTGATATGAGCAAAAAGCGTGACCCACCACAAATATTTAGGTGTGCATTCAATTTACTCTCTTCATGTGTGGTGAAAAATTGGGATGGCTCATGCTTTTGCTCACACTTTTTTTTTACTCTGAAAATCAGAAAATGTAGGGTTTTAGAAGATATTGTAAAATATGTTAAGTTTGAGGTCTTCAAAGAAGAAAAAAAACAGCACTAAAACATAAAAAAAGCAATTGGAGGTAATTTCAACAATGTATTTAGCCTTCTTGATGCTAAAATTATCCTCTTGTAGAGCTTTGAATATCATGAAATTTTGTGGGCCTTTATCATACCTTGTCCTTTACCCGTGGCAATTTGTCAGTAGCGAGAAGCAAGGTTTCTGATCTTTGGACTGATGTTTTCGTGTGTTAAGTGTGTGTTTTATTTATTCATTGTTTATTGCCGTACTCAGCAATAAACTATATGACGGCGAATCTGGACAGACAGTCCAGTGATAGACATGGTGAACATCGATCTACGCCACAAATAGTACACAGTGACATGCATGGATCCCGTCATGGGTTGCTGAAGATCAGTGCTAGTAAGCCGGTGCTTTACTGGTAATTTGGGTATGGATTAAGGAGTGAAAGATTATTCAAATATGATTATAGTGTCTATTTTACCCTCATGTGATAAATACATTTACCGAACAACGGAATGAACAATGAATTTGGTTTCATGTCACTTTGAACAGTATTTGAGTCATATCACGGCGTGTCAGACTTATATTGGAAACATGCCCCAAATTACACTTGGGTAGAAACGTTTACCACCTTGTATAAGCACACATTGACAGGTAATGTGCTACGTGCTGCCACATCAGGAAGCATTGTCACAGGTAGACTCGAAAATACGATCATATTATAGATTTATGCTCAGCCATTGACATGCAACTCTGCACGGAAAAGTGGGTGCTTTAGACGACTGTAGTTTCTAAGATGTATCTGTTAACAGTGCAAACTCACCCATGTTTCATGTGGATACGTCTGTTTATTGACACTTATGGATGATGTCCAGTTTCATATAAAATAGTCCATCAACATAAGCTTTATTGAGCTTTTGTTGTCTGACAGCGATTTTGGCTGGACTGTCTGTTCCAGGTTCGATTTTATACAAGCTGTTGTAACATGGCTGGTAAATTGCTGAGTGCGGCATTGAACTTTCACTCACTCGGATTGTTGTAAAATATACTGTTGAGAACGCAAAAGACACCATTTCATAAATGATTCTAACTCACATCTTTGTCTCCCCCCTGTGACAAAATCAACCATTATTTTCTTTCAAAGTTCAAGGTTGTAGGAGATAATTTACATTCATTGTTTTTGACGTTGATAGTATCTCCCGGTATTTGTACAATAATGCTTCATGCCATAATATTGCCAGAAGATAACGTAAAACACAGAACAAACGCGATATTGTTAGTATCGACTCCAAAAACAGATCACTGGTTACTCACTGCTTCTGTCGGAGAAATTCGCCACGTGGATTTGATGTAGTTATAAAATCAACATATCTACAATTACCTTAATTCACCATTCCACTCGCGTCTGGAGATTGGGCTTTGGTACCAAACGTCTTAGATCGTGTATAATTTACGGCAATGTTTGACACAGTCGTGTCGTCTGCTCTGTCGTCCATTATCAGTTGATCAGCTTCTTGACCGACATATTTGTTGACATAATAGAGGCATGACCTTTTGATCGGAAAATCTGACACAGATTTGTGGGCATAGTTCATACAAAAGACATCTGTAAAATACTAGTCAAAGTGAACATCCTTTATCATCCTTTGCTATCTCAAGATAAATAAGACATATTTTCGTGTTGTCTGCTCTTTTTTCAATTATATGTTGGGCAGAAACATATCTGTTGACATCATGGAACATGGCACTATCTGTCCACTGGATAAAGCTGAGAGATATGATATCTACTGACGTAATTAAGGCTAAAGACACAAAACACCAATTAGTCAAAGTGAATATGAGTGTTCTTCCTTGCTGTCACTGTTTGCGATAGGGCCGTGTTGTAGTCTAGCAGTGACGTTGGCATATTGCAGGGTACGATCCTCAACATGGACAATGAACATTGCCGAGGGTATTTAAGGTATTCATTTGTTACTCATTTTTATGGAACACCCCCAAAAGCTTGTTTGTCAGTCTTATAAATGTCTAAGGAAGTGTTTCATTGTTGCCACTAAATTAAGTCCGTTGATGATGTCAGTGATAAAGTTCAGATTAAGAAATTGATTTGTGATTCTTTCAGTGGAAGGTGTCTGACAGATATGTCAGTAGTATATACAAAATCCCACTGATCAATGAGACTCTTCAAAGGCCAAGGATCAGAGGTCTGTTGTCAACACGGAGTGTCTGAGGCAAAGTTCCTTTCCATGCCAGACCAGCAGATATGCGTTGGACACAGTGACCTATTTCTAACACCAATGGTCGGTGCGACCCATCCATTTCATAGTAGAAGATATGTAGGACGATGTTATCAGTACCGTGCACCAATCTGATAAACATTGTATCGTGATCCGATAAATATGCGAATGACGTCATCTGGCACAAATCAATGTTAGACTCTGCGTTCGATGTAATGTTTACATACTCTTTAAAGTTTTCGCCGAAAGTTTACAATGAGTATAAACAGCGGCTGCCGATGTACACTTGTGTCTTTAAACAACCGTGGCAAATTTAGATCAAAAGGGCGATAACTTCCTCGACCACACTATTTTAAACAGATAACAACATAACTTCAATGAGTGAAAAGAGGTTGTACATATATTCATATGACACACGTCCTTTCCATTATCATATGGATTTATTAATCCTCATGAAATCAAGTGATATTAAATGTTCACATAATTGAGCAGCCCTGAGTGAGCATGGGTTATCCTCCCTCAACCCACCCAAACCCTCACCATACCCCAAACCTCACCCCAACCTCACCAATCCCACCCATCCTCACTCCACCTTTTCCTCAAAGGGGGTAAAATATCGTAAAATCATTGCCCTCCTGAGAGGGTACGTAAGACCCGAAACATTCAAAGTAAATTTAAATTTACCAGATTTTGTAAACGTAGTATTTGTGTCATTTTAACTTAGACTAAATTTGTCTACTATACAATCGCTGAAGGGACGATTTAAATCAAGTTCATGCAGGTACCAAAAGAATTGTAAGTCCCAATGGTCCCACGTATGGCGATCTACCTTCAGTTGTTGGCGATCAAAAGCCCATTTTTATATTGTTTTGTTAATTACCAATTTGTCATTCTATATACTTCCAGACTAGTTTAGAATAAAATGTGATCATCTAGTTGTTTTACTTTCCGTTTAAATACATTTCAAATATTTGTTATTGGCGTATAATTTTACTTCTTCACGATATGGCTGAAATATTGCCGATCTCCCTCACTCCGCTCCACCTTTCCCCCAAGACACCCTATCCACACCTCTCTCAAGCGTTGTCATCTCCTCTCTCTGTCTTTTAATAAAGGTCCCTCAAAAGGGAAAAGGCCTGAATATATAGGTGTCCCCTTTCAGGCTTAGTTGGTTAACATTATCTCCCGGTATCATCACGGAAGTGTTTCATGATAAAACATTGCCAAGAAGAGCATCGTAAAGCACAGAACAAAGAAAACGTCTTCCACATCGATTGTCATAACAGATCTCTTTCTAATCCCAACGCGCTGCTGTCGGATAATTCGCCCGCTCCTCTGTGGGGCCCGTCCGTGATTCATGTAAACATTTCCTGACATGTGGAATTGATGTAGCTACAAGATCAACAGATCTACAATTACCTTAATTCACCATT